TACACTCTTCCTCACAAAATCATACACGGCATCACCCTTCGTGCTTTAACACTCTTCCTCCCCCAAACAACAAACACAAACAATAAGGGCAAGGAATTAAATAGAATCATCATAAAATCCCGGCAAGGGAGCAACATTAAAAGCAACAACATCCCGGCAAGGGTATAATATTAAAAGCAACAACATCCCGACAAGGGTACAATATTAAAAGCAACAACATCCCGGCAAGGGAACGATGTCATAATCCTCTTCTCTTTTTCACATTTACTTCACAACTCGATTCACAATTTGAGACAATGCTCTATAAGGTTCAATTGCCAATTACACTTTCACAAATCAGTTTACCACTTGAGCCAACGCTCTTCACTGTTCAAATACCAATACTCTTTCCACAAACCTTGCTCAACAATAGCAATCATCACATTAAACATGAACAATACAATGAAGTTAACATTAATCATAACATAAGACTCATGGGCATGCTTGATACCAACGTATAGGTACACCTCACCATGCCTATACGTCGTACTCAACAAATAGCACATAGCAAATAGGACACAACTCCTAATACCTCAAGCTAAGGTTAGACCAAACACTTACCTCGATGCCACGAACACAGTTCAAGCCTCAACTATCGCTTTACCTCTTGATTCCACCACCAATTTGCTCGTATCTAGTCACAAGTTACTTAGTTATATCAATAAGTGCTAAATGAATCAATTCTAATGCATGGAAATACGTTTTCTAAAGTTTTTCCCAAAAAGTCAAAAATCGACCCCGGGCCCACATGGTCAAAACCCGAGGTTTGAACCGAAACCCGATTACCATTCACACACAAACTCAAATATACAATTTGTTTTGAAATCGGACCTCAAGTCGAGGTCCAAATTCCCAAAATTTGAAAAACCTAGGTTCTACTCAGAACACCCAATTTCCCCATGAAAATCATTGATTTTGAGTTGAAATCATGTGAAAAGATGTTAAGGATTGAAGAAAACTAGTTAGAAATAACTTACAATCGATTTGGAGAAGAAGTTGCCTTTGAAAAATCGCCCTAGAGTGTTTATGTTTTGAGAAGATATGAAAAATGGTTGAAAATGCGTCAATGTGTGGATTTATAGGTCTCTGATGTCGCAATTGCGACCAGGGTTCGCAATTGCGAACCCAGACTCTGCTATGCTCGCATTTGCGAAGTCGCTTTTGCGATAAATCTGTCGCATTTGCGACACTGGGGAAATCCGGGCCACTTCGCAAATGCGATGGCCCTTTCGCATTTGCGACATCGCATTTACGATGACAGTTTCGCATTTGCGATCCCAAGTTGCGAAGCCTGCAGACCTGCAACATACCAGCAAACTCCTAAGTCCAATTTCACTCCGTGGCCTATCCAAAACTCACCCGAGCCCTCGGGGCTCCAAACCAAACATGCACGCAAGTCCAAAAACATCATACGGACTCGCTCGTACATTCAAATCACCAAAATAACATCAACAACTTTGAATTTAGCATCAAATCATGAAATTACTCAAGAACATCAAATTTTCTATTTTTCTCAAATAAGGTCCGATTCACGTTATTTCAAGTCCGTTTCTTACCAAATTTCACACGCTCGACTTTAAATCATATATAAGACCTGTACCGGGCTCCGGAACCAAGATACGGGCCCGATACCATCAAATTTCGAACACATTTCATTTTTAAAAACTCATCTATTTTTTAGAAAACAATTTTCTTTAAAAATTCATTTCTCGGGCTAGGGACCTCGGAATTCGATTCCGGGCATACGCCCAAGTCCCATATTTTCTTACGGATGTCCCGGGAACGTCGGGACACGGATCCGGGTCTGTTTGCTCAAAATGTTGACCGAAGTCAGCTTAAATTCATTTTAAAGGCAAAACTCATTATTTTTCATAGATTTTCATATAATGGCTTTCCGGCTACGCGCCCGGACTGCACACGCAAATCGAGGTGAGGTAAAAAGGAGGTTTTAGGCCTCGGGACACTGATTTTGTTTCTAAAACAAGTGATGACTTTTTGGGTCATCACAGAAGAATCATTCAAAACTCAAGATCAAGCTTCTAAAGACTTATAGATAGGAATCTTGTAACTCATAGCTGATATGTTAAGTTAGTCTTTTTCATTTTGATTTTGATGTAATAACAGGACCGCGGACCGGAACCTCGACGGAACAGTACCTCACTCGACTCTCTCATCCTCTCCACACACTCCATCACCTCATTCACTTCTGAATTACACGTGGCCTGATACCTTTATATCCAAGGATATGTAGGCAGCTCAGATACCAGGGCTCAGTCACATTCTCTTTTCTTTTAGTTTTTGGTCTCTTTGAATAAGGGTCGGGTCAAAAAACCTGTCTCGTCGTTCTTTGTCTGAAAACTTTTCGTGTTTCCAGTCAAAGAGGGGCAGCTGTAGACATGTAATTTTTGATCCGCCACGTCTTCAAGCTATATTAGCAGTTTCGCATATTTTATATATTTATTTGAGTTATTTGAATTTTTTTAGGATTCTAATATACTAATTTTATTGTTATTTAGTATTTTAAAAAAAAATCAAAAACACAAAAATAGTTTCAAGTCTATTTAACTTAAGGAAATTAGTACTTAATGTAGTAATACTATTTTCACCCATTTTTATCTATTTTTATTTTTATATAATCTTGAAAAAATACCAAAAAATAGTTTTACAATATAATATTATTTATTTTAATTAATTAGAGTTAGTTATGTATGTTATAGTATAGATTTTACATTATTTGTAGAAGAGAATTAAGATTTTGGGTTGGAAAAGCCCAATTTCAAATAGCCCAAAACATTGAGCTCATATCCATTCCCCATTTAACCTAACCTAATTCCTACTCCCTGTAAAAGAAGAACCTAATTCCTAATTCCTAAAAAAGTGAAGAACGGCAGGGGCCAAAAATTCACCCAAAAAATAACCCCTTAAAACTCCATTAACACAACCGAAACTTCAGCTCCAAAAAGCCACATAAATCAGTCTCCAAACGTAAGAGAAAGAGAACAGCAAACTTCATCTTCCTCCATTTCCTATCATGTAAGAAGCCCCTTAAGAGCTCAATGAAAAGCAGTTAAAAACACGTTAAAAACACAGCCAAAAATTAGTCCCAAAGAGCTGCGAAACAGCTGAAAATCTGTCTGAAAAATGCAGCCGTGAACCTCTGTTAAACACCACCAAAACCAGCCCCAAACCAGCCTATCAAATGAGCAAAAAACCAGCTCAAAAATAGTCAAAAATAGCAGCGGAAAACAGTACCAAATAGTTCCAAAATTAGCCACAAAAAGCAGTCCATAACCACCCAAAAACGAGTTGAAATACTAAACCGAAATCCAGTCGAGTTGTCGGTAAAATTACCGGTGACAACGGTCGTCCATTGGAGTCGTGGGTCAAGAGGTCCGTTAGCGGGTTTTAGTTCGAGGTTGTCAAGCTTCAGTCAAGTTGTTCGTCTGTGGCCTAGTTCAATTTTGAATTGTGAAGCTGTGAAAAATTGAAAGTTCAGATTCATATTTTAGGTTCATTTCTTGTCTCAACCTTGATTAATGTTGATTTAGTGTTCAAATTCTATGGATTTTGTGCTTGAATGAAATACTATTCTTGGCTGATGATAATTTTTCGTTTCTATGCTTGCCTACTGTTCATTTTTGGCTATTTATGTGTTAAGGTATCTTTGCTTGAAACTTAGTTTCATATTAATTAGTTGTTAGCTTCTCTAGGTTAGCCAATCATTTTAGACTAGTATTGGTTTGTCAAATATGGGCCATTGAACAATAATGGGCCCCGTGAAGTTGAATATGGGTTTTGATATTGGCCATGTGATTCTTGGTTTTAATTATTAAGGTGCTGATAGGAATTTGTCTAACTACCTGTTTCAGTAATTAGGCCTCTTAACAATTGGTTTGATATTTGATAAAGAACCCAAGGTGTTTCTTTGATTGATTTGGGCCTAGATTAGAGGTGCGACCCCACGTGTGATAAGAAAAACAATTGTGAGGGAGTGAGGGGCGTCGTGAATCAATTCAAGACTCGTCGCAAAAAGAGAAAGAGAAGAGTGAAAATAGACAAAATAATTGTCTCGGATTAGCAAGAGATAAATAGCTTACGAATGTCGTATCTTGCTTTAGGCGCGATTAATAAATCATCACGGCTATGGGTACGGTTCTCATGGCATAGTCGTGATACATGATTCCCAAATTCGGGTGTGCATTTCATGTAACCCGACCATAACTTCGCATATCAATTAAATACACATGTTGTAGATTGTGGGTACGGTTCCCGTGACACGATTCGCAACATGTACAAAAACAAACAAGTGTACGTTAACCGTAACTTGTTCCAAAAATAACTCCATAAACAATTTAAAAGCGGTTAAAAAGCTAAAAATGCACAATAGGTATGAAACATGTCATTAATCAGATAATTAGGCCAATTAATAATAGTTGAGCGACCATGCTAAAATCACGGAACCCGGGAATGCCTCACATCTTCTCCCGGGTTAACAGAATTCCTTACCCAGTCTTCTGCTTTCGCGGACCAAATAGAGTCGATTTCCTTGATCAGGGATTTAAAATAAACTAGTGACTTGGGACACCAATAATTATTTCAAGTGGCGACTCTGAAATTAAATAAATAATTCCATTTCGATTCATGTCACTTAAATTGGAAAACTCCCTATCTCCCCCTCGGGAAAAAAGGAGCTGTGACACTTGGGATCAGTTTCTACCGCTTGCAGAGTTTGCCTACAACAATAGCTACCGTCGAGTATCCAAATGGCTCCGTATGAGGCCTTATATGGGAGGTGGTATCGATCTTCAGTTGGGTGGTTTGAGCCGGAGGAGGCTAGGTTGTTGGGCACGAATCTGGTTTAGGATACCTTGAAAAAGGTCAGGTTGATTCAGGATCGGCTGCGCACGGCACAGTCTAGATAGAAGAGTTACGACGATCGGAAGGTTCGTGATGTTGCCTACATGGTGGGAGAGAAGTTGTTGCTCAGGGTTTCACCCATGAAGGGTGTTATGAGGTTCGGGAAGAATGACAAGTTGAGCCCTCGATGTATTAGCCTTTTTGAGGTGCTTAAGAGGATTGGAGAGGTGGCTTACCAGCTTGCATTGCCACCTAGTCTATCGAGTGTTCACCTAGTGTTTTATGTTTCCATGATCCAGAAGTATTTCGGTGATTCGTATCATGTTTTGGACTTTAGAACGGTTCACTTAGATGGGGATTTGACTTATGATGTGGAGCCGGTGGCCATTTTGGATCAACATGTTCCAAAGTTGAGATCAAGAATATAGCTTCAGTGAAAGTACAGTGGAGAGGTCAGCCAGTTGAGGACTCTGCTTGGGAGATCGAGCGGAAGATACAGAGCATCTGTCCACACCTATTTGCAACTCTAGGTATGATTCTAGACCCGTTCGAGGATGAACGTTTGTTTAAAAGGGGGAGAATGTAACGACCCGATCAGTCATTTTGAGTATTGTAGCCTCGTTCCCCCATTTAATGCTTATTCTATGTTCGTTTGTTATTATGTGACTTGTTAGGGTGGTTGGTTTGGTTCCGAGGATGTTTTGGAATGAACTGGGACACTTAGTCCCAAGGTTGGAAGCCTAAGTTGAAAGAGTTGACCGAATGTTGACTTATGAGTAAATGACTGCGAAATGGAGTTTTGATCGTTCCGATAGCTTCACATGGTAATTTTGGACTTTGTACTAAGTCCGGATATTTATTTGAAGGTCCGTAGGTTATTTTGGCTTGAATTGGTGAAACTTGAAAAGTTGAAGGTTTGGAAAGTTGAGAAGTTTGACCTAGCATGTGCGTCACCTCAACACCAAACACATATCACGTATATTCGAGGTTCATACCCTCAGCACCAAGTTTAGAAGTGTTACTTACCTCGAACAAGCCAAATCCAACACCGAGCAAGCCAAATGATGCTCCAAATATGCCATCCCGTGCGTACCGACCTCCAAATGGCTTGAAACCAGCCAAAAGCAACTCAAATACATCAAATAAAGCCTAAGGAAACAATTCCAATTGATAAAGGACGAATCCTTACTCAAAAGCCAAAAATCAACCAAAAAGTCCATCCCGGGCCCGTGCCTCGGAACTCGACGAAACTTATAAAATCTGATAACCCATTCAATTAAGAGTCCAGCCATACTAGTTTCAATCTAATCCAATTCCAACTCGATGTTCAAAACTCAGAAATTCACTATATGAAAGTTTAGACAAAAACCCCCAAATTTTGCTTTTGAAATCATCAACAAATTGCCAAAACTGAAGACAGATTCATGAAATATAATAAAAAATAAGTAGATAACACTTGCCCCAATCCATGTGGTGAAAATCACTTAAACAATCGTCCAAATCCGAACTCCCCAACTCAAAATATGACCAAAATGAACAAACCCTTGATTTATATGCTTACACACAGCTGTTCAGTCTCGATTCTCATGCCAAATGATCTCGAAACTCACTTTTAATGTCTTCAATAGATTCCTTGTGAAATTTCAGTTAAGACAGGCTTTTGAATCACTCCATTTGATCTTATAATGAAGGAGATATTGTTGTTTCAATATTTGGATATAGTGTAGATTTTTAAATACTGACAATTTCATAATTAAGTGAAAAAGATCTGGCAACCCAATTCTTAGTAAAATGACCATAAACTCCTTATATGATGTCCAAATTCGACGATTCTTTTTGTTATGGCTCCGTAATTACGATATGGATCTAATGCTTCAATCAAAATCGAAATTGGAGCTCATTTGCTTAATGTGGTACCATTTATGCTTGAAGAAATGACGTCGAAACATCAAAACGAGCACAACACAACCCAAACCTATCCGAAACTCAACCGAGCCTCTCGGGACCCCGTTCGAACATACCAACAAGTCCCATAACAAAACACGGACCTACTCAAAACCTCAAATCACGCATAACAACATCGAAGCGACGAATCGCACCTCAGATCAAACTTAATGAACTTTCGACTTCAAAAAACTCGCGCCGAAACATATCAAATCAACTCGGAATGAACTCAAATTTTGCACACAAGTCCCAGATGACGTAACGAAGCTTTTTCAATTCCGGCAACCACAATCCAAATCCGATATCCTCAAGGTCAAGTTCTGGTCAAACTTATAAACATTCCAAACTTTTAAATTTCCAACTTTCGCCAAATAGTGCCGAAACCTTCTAGAGATATCCAAATGCAAATCCAGGCATACGTCCAAGTCCAAAATCACCATTCGGACCTAACGGAACAATCAAAACTCCGATCCTAGGTCAAGTACTAAAAAGTCAAACTTGGTCAACTGCTTGCAATTTAGAGCTTCCTAGTTGAGAATCATTCTTCCAAATCAATTCCGAAAAACCTGAAAACTAAAACTGACGATTCACATAAGTCATAATACATTATACGATGCTACTTAAGACTTCAAATAGCTGAACGGAATGCGAATTCTCAAAACGACCTGCTGGGTCGTTACATTCTCCCCACTTTGATTTCACATTGTATTTGTTAGAAATGAGATGCAAGTTTGCATTCATGTCAAAGGGCCTTTTCTCTCGTATCTTTTCTTCTCCAACTATTCGTGGTGCAATCCTATCTGCAGCAAATATGTAGGAGGAAAATGTTTAAGTGTATCACTTTTTATTTAAGTTGTACACTTGACTGATCAGAAACATAATGAGACAATACAGTTATACTATGCAATTCTGTGTCGTTCCATAAAGGCCAAAAAATCGAAGATAACTAGAAGTCTTGATTATTTCTCTCTTGTTCGAGTTTTGTGGACCTTTTTTTTGGTATGGTGACCACGTCTTTCTCATGCTCCCTAACATTGCGGCATTGATATGGCAAATCCAATACAAATATTCTCATTTCTATATTGACTGCTCCGTCCAAGGGAAAATAATTATTTTTGGCTTCATAACTATGGAATAAACGGCCAAATAACTGTTTATTAATAGAATTACAATTTAATAATTGCAATTTCACCCAACCTCTATTAGATTCTCGGTTTAGATTTACTGTAAAAGTCAGTTTTTTTTCTTCTTCTTTTTCCCTATTTCAGGACTGCAAATACTTTATACAACCTAAATAATTTAGCTTTCTCATCATTTATGGTAAATGTATTTGAATCAAATTGGACATTGCAAAAATAACAACAACATACCCAGTATTATCCCACAATGTGGGGCCTGGGGAGGATAGTGTGTACGCAGACCTTACCTCTAGGATAGAGAGACTATACCAATAGACCCTCGGCTCAAGAAAGTATAAACACCATATTAATGAAAATATAAATACGAAGGGACAGTACCAAAAAGTTATACATTGCAAAAATAAAACATTTGCAAATTTCAGAAATATCACCGTTTATAATAAGGAGAAATTAGAGATGGGTATTGTTCATCAAAATAATTCCGTGATCAAATTTCAAATCTCTTAGCTTAAACACAATAAGAAGTGAGGATACTGATAAATACTTAACTAAAGATCTGAACTACATTTTAAGAACACGGAATTTGGAATGGACATATCTGTTTGACTCAAAAGTTATTAAACACTTTTTAAGCAAATCAATCAAAAAAAAATGAAGGGGTAAATCATAGTCAATCATAGTTAATACTGGATCGAAAGACAGAGTCGTAAAAATAGAAGATTGAACAGAAATAACACTTGGGAGGTTTTATTGGTTATAGAAATTTGCCCTGCCTCTCCTTGAAGAGGTTCAGGGGATTACAATCATATTATCTCCTTCATGAGTAGTCGAAGATGGAGTCTCTCCCTTTTCCCATTTTCGGGCTGTTTTTCTAATGGAGAAGAAGCCCCTCTTTCAGCTCACTTGCCTAGTATTTATATTCGAGAACTTCTCGTGCAGATCATGCTCTATCATGATCGGGTCGGGGAGGTGTTTCCTCGTCGTAGGGAGGCCTTGGCCTCAACGCTCATATCGAAAGTAGCGATGATCGGACGAAGTCGGGTTCGTTGGCTACTTCTGCAAGATGGTTGGGACGGGGTCATTGCCGCCGTGGTCGTGTGGTCAGATTTTGACCAATACAGTTAGTCCCTCCGTTCGTCAGGGACGTGTCTTGCCGACCTCGGCGGACGGATCGTGTTTGTGACGTAATCGTGGAGGGAGTCAGATTCACATATTATTCCTTAGTCGCATTATGAATTTTGAAATGCCCGGGGGCGTCTTTCTAATACTCTTATACCGTTATGACGGTTTCGAAACTGAAGCGCCGGTTGATAAACGAAACGTCGCTTTGTACAAGCAGTCATAATGGCACATGTTCCCAAGAAGCTGAATCGTTTCGCGCCCGGTCAGGCTCTAGTGGCGACCGTTGGTTTTCGTGCCCTGGAGAATTTGTGTCTTATAAATTGAAGGGGCCTGTCATTTGTTTTTCACATTCCATCGCTCATCTTCGAGAGAATTCCCAGGATATCTCCCTTTCTGTTAATTTGAGCTCTTCTTTACTCCTTTGCTCGCAGCAATCTTCAATTTTCTCACTTCTTCCGCAAAGTTCCTTCCTCCTCTTTTTGTGGGTTAAAGATGGCAGGAACTTCTTCTCGTGATAATCTCCCGGCTATCCTTCCGGCAGCTGAGAACCCCGCTCCGGCAGATGGAGACACAGAACTGATGGAATGCGAAGATGTTCCTTCAGTATAGGAAATTTTATCCCGCCCGGGGAGGGCAGTGATAGATTTCAGCGCCGATGGCGGCGCGGAGCAGGTAAATATTCCTCCTCTTATGGGGGAAGTCGGGATAGCGGATTTAAGGGAGCGATGGGGTATTCCCCGTTATGTCGAGATGGTACCGGCAGGGAGAGACGACAGGGTCCAAATCGACCGCCTAGGGTTCTGCTCGTTCTATGTTTATCCCTTCCTCGTGGGGTACACGCTCCCATTTCCTATGTTGGTGGTCGACTTCTGCTGCTATTATGAGGTGTGTCCTGCCCAACTTTCTCCTTATCTGTACAAGCTGTTCCTCATATTTATCAAGTACGCGGAGCGGGCCGGTCGGGAGGTCACTCTGAGACACGTGCTCAGCCTATTCGCTCCTCAAAAGATTCGTAGCACTATGATCCACGCGCGTCCCCGAGGGTCAAATGGTTTGGTGGTCAAGATGGACGACATGACCAATCGTCGCTTTTTTGATAACTTTTTCTATGTGCAGACCGAACACCTCGTGGCGGATCCATCTGGATTTCTAGAAGTGTGGAATTTTGCTCGTAAGTCTTCGTCCTTGGTTAATAGAGTACCCGCTTTGTCCTTGCTCTCTTT